TAGTATGTGGTTGATACCATCGAACATATGCTAGATGGTACGTTTTATTTTTAAATTTATGTTGAAAAAAGAATTGTATTTTTCCCGGATATATATCTTCAGTATTGTCTCTAAAAGCAAGAAACTTTGCTCTGATATATGAGCGATTTTCATATCTTGGGGCAATCTTTGAACCGTATATTTCAGCTCCAAATTTTAATCTTCCAAACTGGGTTATTACTTTTTCCATAGCTTGTGTTAGTGGCTCTTCATCATATAGATCACCATGTGGATCACCATATAGTTCATCATTTAGTATAAAATAATATTCTGTCAAATATTTATATAAATTATCAGGAATATTCACATTCTCATTAATCATCCCGATCATCTCTCCAGGATATTTTTCTGTTTCTGTGATTACTCTAGCATTATTGATTTTATTGGCCATATCTAGATATTCTTTCAAATCCTTATTTTTAAAGTTTTCAGTCATTTTTAAACTTCTACGTACTTTTTTATCTAAAAGCGAAAGAACTTTGTCTAATAGCGACTTAGCCTCACCTCTATCAACTGAAGTTATTCTAAATTCTACTTGTGCATTTTTCATAAGGATCTGCATAAGTTCAGGTTCAATAGAACGATTACTTGTTGGATACATTCCTAATAGACCATTTATCCGTTCAAAAGAATAGCACCAATAAGCATATAGAGGACTATAATCTAGACAACATTGTCTTATGTGAAAAGACAAGTGAATATTTGATGATATAATATGTGGACCATAATGTTTCTCAATTAACTGTACTACTTTTATTAGCCTATTATATGCTTCGTCTAGATCATTTTGCTTGACTATTCTGCTTATTAATAAATTACATATGCAGACAAAATTAAAAATTATTTCTTTATCTTCAAGCTTTAGCATATCCCACATGCATGGAATAGCGTATACTTGGCAGAATATCTCCCACTGATCTGCTGTAAATCGATTAAATCTATGTGTGACTTTTGATAGAATTCGACTGATTTCTGATGGAACTTTTACATTAGACATACGCTTTTTGAGAATTATAAGTTGGTCTTTACTAAGTTTATCGTGATCTAACAAACATTGTTTCATTATCCATTTGCCGATACCTAAGAATAGGCAATGCATTGGATTGACCACCATAAATTTAACTAGATCAAAATATTTTAGCTGATATAGTTCTGACCATCTTATTCCCATTCTTTTCACATAGTTATCACATTCTTGATTATTTCTACAAGATAATCATTGCTCTGCTGCTCTAAAATATTGTGAAATATCTACTAATTTAAACTATTCATCCATATTTTCAAAACCACCATAATGATTTCTTTTGGTTGCATAATCATTTTAGCACGTTTTGGGCAATGATGACATTTTACTGCATGACTTGCTTGATCACAAATCTTTCTTGCAGCAGGAACATCATTAGCTGATAATATTAATGCTATATATATCTTGTGTCCTTCTTTATATTCAAAAGTTGCTGGTAATTTTATACCAGAGGAAAATTCAATTAGCTCATTTACAATTGGTACAAGATAGTTATTTATTTGATGCTTACTAGGTTCATTTGGTCCTAGGATGATACCTAATGTTAAAATATTGTTTGGTTTAAATCATTCTTCACGTGATAAATTACACAAAACTTCATAGATCACCTCAGTACTATGTACTGTATAATCGAATAGTTGAAACCAATCGATATTAATAGCTAGGCCAATATGGGTATCAAGTGTGTCTTTTGTAAAAAATGGACTCAGATTATCTAGATCTATAGCGAAGGCTTTCCAGATATTATCTTCATAAATATTTGAGAAAACTCTATTTGGAACATTTCTATTACTAGAATGCCTTAACATATTCTCAAAGCCTGCTCTCTGATACATCA